ATGCAGTAAAACATTTACAGAGCAGCACCCTTGAGCAGTGAACATTTGGTGAGCACCTCAGCAGGCCTTCGTATGTGCTCTGAAGACTCGTGCTGAAGGAAATGAGCGCTGCTCAGCTCCCTTCTGCCACTTCATGGTGGAAATAGCAGAATAGGCAGCATGGTCTTCTCAACTGCTGCAGATCATATAGCCTAACATTTTCCCTTAGCCACCCATGAGGGTTTAAGGTGGTAGACGCATCCTGTGCTTTCTGGCCCCGATGCTGAGCCGTATGTAATTAGGTGAATATACTGTGCTGACGTATGGCTTGCTATATCATCACACGTGAGGGCCTTTAGAAGTAACCATGAGGAACTCCTGGCAGTTGGTACAGGAAATTATCTACAACTTGTATGTAGCCTGCACTTGGAGGGCAGGGGTGTCTGTTTCCTCAGATATCTTCTTCACTGGTTTTCCTTTCAGTTCTTCTCAAATATAAAATTATTTCAGAATGTTACTTCAGCTGGAGACCCAGTGCTGGATTTTGCCCCTCTGGTTTGGGAAATATGTTCAAGTGTTCTTATTCCATGGAGGCTGTGGCCTTATTTGAAGACTTGGAGTAGGTTGAAAAGCAGTGATTTTGCAGCCCCACATAGGAGGTTCCACAGAGCTAACTGATATTAACTATAAGGTCTTGTCCTTGAGCTGAAAGAACTGGCTTAGAGCCTTTTGTGTTTGCAAGGTTGGATTTATTTATTTTCTCCTAGTTCATCGTTTCATAATTATCTATAGGGAATTTACTATTTATTAAAATAAATTCCTCTAAGTTCTAAGGTTTGGTGGTTAATCAAAGTGTTTTTCAAACCGTTACATACATGAAAGTGTTTGAAGTTGTAATGGCTGTTTACAAGGCATTTCTCCTTCATATGCCGCTGACTTTCAATATGGTACCATCACAGTAAGTGACTAACTGGTAAAGGCTTCTGATGAGACTTGTAATGACTAGATTGCTTGTGATCTCAGACTTAAATTCACCATTTGATAAGAGAGAAATAGCTCTCTAATACTATAGTTTTAATGCCTGAAGTGGATGTTACAGTTAGATGCTATAAAATACTGCAATTGAAAATATATATTTTAACTGAAGCATTAGCTATTTTTCTTCCATTCAAATGAGCATTTCCCTTGATTTTTGCAGAGCTGCAGGTTGTATGCAACAAAACACTTACGAGTATTACTGAGAGCAAACGTAGAGTTCTTCAGCAACTGGGGGATTGAGTTACTGGTGACCCAGATACATGATAAAAATAAAACTATTTCTTCGGAGGCACTTGATATTCTAGATGAGGCATGTGAAGACAAGGTGAGCATCATCTACCTTTTCAATCTCATTTTGGTATCAACTCCATAAGTATTTTGTTTTTCCTGAGTTGGAGATAAGTTTGTATGTATAGCTATCTAGATATATAGATATCTCTATCATGTGTGTATCTATATCTATCTATCTATCCATATAGATAGATACTATATAGATAGATTGATAGAGAGATATATGGATATATCCAAGTAGAGGCATACAGTAAGCTACTGACAGTTTGCTTTCTTTATCTTCTGGACAGCATGCTATAGATGACCCTGCTTGAGCAGGAGAGTTGGGCTAGATGATCTCCAGAGATCCCTTCCAACCTCAACTATTCTGTGATTCTCTTATCATTGGTGGCCTCCATAATAGTATACATGCCCCTTGCTAAAAAGACTGCAATATTAATGACAAGAATGAGCAGACATGTAGATTATGACTACTTATAAATACTACTTCAGGTATTTTGATAATATATTTTCTTTTTTAAAGTAATACTAATTTAATGACAAAAGGTGTCTAAATTGGCTAGTATTAGGATAAGCTTAGTACTGTTTGATATTTCCTTCATGAAATACTTGTTAGCTTACTGCTGTAATTTTCAGAGATATATTGTGTTCAGATGTTCAATATGCATTTTTATTTTAGGCCAATCTTCATGCCCTCATCCAAATGAAACCAGCTCTTTCTCATCTTGGAGACAAAGGTTTACTTCTACTCCTAAGGTAAATGTTTCACTTTAATCTGGGAAAACAGTAAGAAAATTCAAATTACATTATTTTTCAGTAGAGTACTGACTGTCTAATGTTACTTTTCAGATTTCTGTCCATTCCAAAGGGGTTTTCCTACTTAAATGAAAGAGGCTATGTAACAAAGCAAATGGAGAAGTGGCAAAAGGTAATATAAAGTGTACATTCACTCGAAATTTAAAAGTAGGAAGGATGTGAATACAAAGGTTTAGGAGATCAAGGACTGTGAAAAATATTGTATATTCACACGTGTTTATTGCTAATGCTAGTACTTTTACTGCTTCAGTGATTTATGGTTTTGTTGAAAAGGGCAACAGGAACTTTGTTTCATAGCTCCTCTGTACATACATTCCTTTAATTTAACCAGGCTTTTTACTGGGTTTTCATACTCTAGCAAAAATTTAGAGATGGCAGTGGCTTACTGAATTTCCTGAACAGTTATATAAAATTGTATCTAAAAAACTGCAGAGAGGATTATTGCTTTTCAAGACAGTTGTCACCCCTTTTTTTTCCTAATCTAGATGTAGATATCATAACAATTCAGCTAGTCAATGCTGTTGGGAAGTAAATAGAAACACAAGTCTCATCAAGAAAAACGTATCATGCTTATGACTAAAATAAAACCATTAATATATTACTTTATATTTGATCATATGTGTGATTGGTTGAGGC